GGAGACTAACTTGAAATGTAAACTTCATTTAAACTACAACAATAAACAAACCAAAAAAAAAAAAAAAAAAAAAAACTCAGGGCTGATTAAGTGCCAGGCACTGGGGATAGAGCAGTACCAAAAACAGACATGAAACCCAGTGGTGGGGACACAGGGAAGGGACCGCGCCACTTCAGTGTGGCAGGGACAGGTGTGGTACATGGTTTAGTTATATTCTACATCAAGGTTTTTTTCCTGTGCATTTAATAAAATCAACAGAAAACATTGCCCAGAACTCTCTTCCTGAAGCTTCTCCCCTCCGCTCAGAAGTATTCGCATGCTTACCCTTGAAGATGCGGAATCAGCTGGCCAATAGTGATCTCTTGCGCCACCTTCTGGTAGAGGTCATGGCTATTGAGCACCATCGCCTCCAAAATGGCCAAGGATCGCTGCAGGATTGAGATGTCTATGGCTGACTTGTTCACAAAACTTGCTATCTGAAAATCCAAGGGGGACATAATTAACTGCTCGTGGTAAACAGGGCAGAGGCATAGAGAAGGGAACAAATACAGTAAACAAGAAAAGCACTTGAGAAACACCAGACGCTGAGGATGTAAACTGTCAGGAATTAACAGCAAAATGGCAAGAAACACATCAAGTCAACAAAGATTGTTTATGACTTCATTACAAAACACTATTTAGACCCTATTTCTATAATTCAACGATAGGTAGTTTTAAAAAAGGGACTGCTTCAAAGAATTATTCTGTCTAGTTTATCCAGATTATTCTTCTGAGTTTCAGCTTTCAGGGACAGATAATCTCAACACATACAGCGTAAGGATTCTCGTGTTTCTCTGAGACAGTAATTTGGGCATATACTAATAGTCATTCCTCTTCCACTCCCAGACAACTCTTTCATCCACAGGGTCAGTGACTTCTATTTTGTTATGTTCTTAAGGGGCCTGCACAGATCACACTTGTCAACACAGTTCAACTGGCAACTTTTCAGTCGCTGGCTACCCTCCTTGCTTTCCTTAACCAAAAACCCTTTGCTCCATTCTTCCAATTTCTTATGGTTAAAATAAATTCTTCTCGTCTCTCTCAAATTTAGCAAACAGGAAACCATTCTAAATTAGCAATGCTAAAAGTTAAAATAATAGCTTAAGCTCTGAAACATATCCCCCAAGGAATTCATCACTAAGGTCTCGAACATCATAAATCACAATGTAAGAGGGAAGTAAAATAAAGGTTAGAATAATGGATCACAGCAATCCAAACACATGGGTACCATAAAGGTTTTATTTTAGAGGCATCATTAAAAGTTATTACTATCTGTTGACAACTCACACTAAAAGGCTATTATTATATCAACATAATGACTATGTTCTTAAAAAGCTAAATAATTTGCTTCTATCACAAGTAGACACTTGCTGCTTCCCTCTGTCGACACCAATTTCTCCCTTTCTGCTGTCTCATCGGCCCCTTCTCCTCATCGCCTCCCCATCCTTGGACATGACAAAATGTCAAATCGACCCATGGCAACTTCCAGATACCATCCCAATTGTGTCTGGCCCAATGACTCCCTGGTGAAAGCAGGAGAGAGGGAGTGGAGATGCCCACACACATTCTTGCTAACCAAAAATCAAACCAAACTCATCGTTGTTGAGCCGATTCTGACTCATAGCAACCCTATGGGACAGAGTAAAACTGCCCCGTAGGATTTCCAAAGAGCAGCTGGTGGATTCAAACTGCTAATCTTGCGGTTACAAGTCAAGCGCTTAACCACTGTGCCACCAGGGCTCCTACTTGCTAACAGGAAGTGGAAAACAAATGATATTAAAAAGATAGCAACATTATGATTTTATACTCTAAAATGC